CTGAAATACTAACATATCTTCATTTTGCAGCAGCTAATTATATATTCAATTACATAATTTCTTAATCCCATCTAGATCCCATTATTTTCTAGAATGAAGTAGTTATAATTAAATTTTAATCGTAATAAATACATAACCTTCAGAATTTATTTTAATATACTGGAAAGAGATCATAAAAATTTCAAATTAAGGGACTTGATACTTTTGTAATGCTTTAAATAAACACGAACACATGTGTATATTAATATACTCTACATTGTTATTTGAATCACATATAACTAAAAGTATTAAAATACACGCATTAAAATAAACAAAGGGGAAAAAAAGGAAACATAATCGAACACATCAAGGAAATGCATTTAAAAATGTGGTGTTTTATCGAAACATAATTTCAACACTACATAGTTTCAACAAATTGAAATAACGATATTATAATCGCGAAAAATTATATCACGTTCATTTGATATCTAGACCATAACGTACTTCCATTTCGATTAAATAAACTTTTAACACGCCTCATTTGCACATAATTACGCTTCATGTTTCAACAATACGAACTCTATACATTCCAAGTGCAAACGATTTTAAACTTCTATGAGGAAAATAGGCGGTGGAGAATAAATTCCCAATCGATATCATAGAATGCACAAAGTAGCAAACGATAATTTCAAATGTAACTAACTGCATTTGTAAAAAACAGAGCCGAGACAGAATATTTTAATACGAAAATTGCTTTCCTCCATGGCTTTATTTAAATAATAAACAAAATGAAAAAATAAAAATAATAATAAAAAAGCGATAGTAACGACACGCATGGGAAATCTGAGAATGATTTCCCTCATAAACATATCAGGGATTGATACCTGAATCACGTATTGATTTCCCGCCAAGAAAGATAATTGGAAGAGTGAAGATGTTGAAGATAGTGACGAATTGACAAGCACCGTTATTTTCTGAAACAAAGTATGGGAGCCGAGGAAGAAAGCAAAGAATAAATATAGTGTGGGAAGTAGTTACTAGCTTTCTTCCTCGAAAAATTTCAAGCTCATTGTACAAAGAAAACGAATGTAAACAAAGAGTTAACTAATAAATAAGAATTGAGCTGAAAGAGTAATTGTTCAATAATCTGTATAATTTCGTAACCTAATTTTATTAACAGTAATACAACAATCGAGTTCTTCAAATTATTTGACGAATTTTTTTTAAAAGAATTGAATCAAGTTAGTGAAGTGAGAAGTACCATACAAATTAATGAAAACAAAAATAGCAAAACTATTATATACTAATTTTACAACTGCTGTACTGAAATATGGTTGGTTGGTGTCGTATCCTCTATTGAATCATATTTCATGGTGTGCTTGAATAGTTTTTGTTATTTCTATGGTATTAAATTAATACAAATCCTCTTCTGTGGGGTAGTTTAAGAGGTGAAGGCCTGCAGGGCAGTTAAAAACATGATATGGTGTCAGTTCCACATTAAGACAGTTGCCACAATTTTGATACTTTCTAGTCCCATCTGTAGAGATTTTCATGTTTTTATGATGTTTTGTTCTTAGTCTGATGAGAGTAGTGGCTGTCTTCCTATCGATGTCAAGATTAGTTATTTGATCGTGGGCTTTGATTTTTAAAGGGGTGAATAGTCTTGACTTTGCAAAAGCATTTGGATCTGCCAACGTGGTTGGGATTGTATTTTGATTGAAATCTCTGGCATTTTTAGCCAAGGAATCAGCTATTTCATTGAACTCTAGGTTCACAAGGGCGGGAATCCACTGCAAGAAGCATTTTTTCCGGAGACGCTGAAGTTGTCCAAATATTAATAAATAATAAGCAAACTTTTCCTAGCTAATTTAAAATTACATTATAATTTTTTTTACAGAATTTAATTAAAACCTGTAATCCTTTAATGTGGGCAAACTTTAGGCTTAATTTTTTTTTTTTAACGAAATGTTTTCATCAAAGTTTTTACAATGTTAATTTGAGCCAAATTAATTAAAATGTATTCTAAATCTCTCGTCTGTACAAAAGCTTAACTATTCGCAGAAAACTAACACAAGTTCTTCAAATTTTAAAAAACTAAATAAATAAATGAGCGAACTAAGCAAAATAAAGTAGGCGGTAAAATTATTGTTCTTTGAACAAACTAAATTGAACATAATGGATCATAATATTTTATTATACATATATTTTAATGCCGAAGTTTGTAAACATAATACTTAAACGTACAATGCACTTTTCTAAAGAATGAATATGGCTACTTCAGCCTGAAACAAAAAGATCATAAAAAATCGGAAGAGGTCATTAAACATAAGATTGTTTCTAAAAGAGGTTTAATTAACATTACTTTAGTCTATAGATACTAGATACGATTTAATTACATAATAGAGAACAGTTATCAGAAAATGAAATCAATTACATCATACAATAGTCAACATTAACACTGAGGCATAAAAATTCAGTCTTAATGCAGAAAATAAATATGTTCTCTTTAAAGCTTGATAAAAAAAATTATTATATACAAATTGTCATTAATTTTTTATGGTAGAGAACAGAAAAATCTACGTTTTCACTAGTTAATTGTGGCCATATTAAATATAAGTATAATCAGTATGCAGACAGTTTTTAAAACGTAATTTACTCTATAAAATGAGGACTAAATTCACATGATATAAAGTAAGTAAAATATAATTCCTCAATGAATAAATGTATGAAATGTCAGTTTCAGTATCTACACACGGGAAGGATTGTTAACACTGGTGCTATTGATGTTTTAAATAACAAGGATAAAAGAATATCAACATCGACAACTTCAATTCGAAAACATTTTCTTGTAAGTATTCAAATATAATAAACAAATTAATATGCAACAAAGGGAATGATTTTGAATATATATACCATTTCCCTTTCAAGGTTTCCTTAAAATTACAATTTTAAAATTTGTTTTCTATCGCGAATCAAAATTAAATTGATGAAAAAATTTTGAATAGCTATTTCTACATTTCTCATTAGTAGGCGATATTTCGCGATAGTATTTAAATAAAAATAACCCATTTTATAAAATATTTTATATTCTCAAGTAATGGATTGCAATAAATTAAATGTCATGATTAAATTTAATAACTGTTACATTTTTATTTTAATTATTTATTTATAATAATATAATGTTTCGAATAGTACATTTAAAAAGTTAATACAATTGTCAGCAGTCATGGATTAATATGAATTGAATTTGATAATAACAAACCAACAAAATTTCTTAACTATTTCAAAATAAGAATAAAAACATGTGACAAATATAGAACAACTATTTTAAAACTTATATGACGTAATTTTATGTACAAATCTAAATTGATTAACTTCAAGAAAAAAATATTTATTTATTAATTATCACAGCGATTGTTATTAAAGACTGGATATTACCGCTAGACAATTATGATTGACCGCACAGTTTTTGATTAAAGAGAAAAATAGAAATTCAATTAAATTCTCCATTATTTTCTTCTTTAATGTTCCACTTAAAATAAAGACCAGCTTTTGAACTATGTTTTTATGAACAATAAATTTGCAAATCTCAACACGCAAGCAACTTTGGTTAGTTTAAGCTACGATTATGAAAAACCAGTTTTTCAGAAAACGATATTTATTTATATGTAAATTGTTATTTAAGGCAGGAAGCGCTTGCGACAGAACATAAAAACTTAAAATACACAAAAGCTTCGACTAAAGTTTAAATTAAAAATCTTATTGGAAAAAAAGTTTCTAGCAAAAAAAATATTACTTTTGGTTATTTTTAATATTTTTGAGTTTGCCAGAAATGTAGGGGGGAAATTGCAATACCTGTTCCGCATGTTTGGCTGAACAAAATGCACCATGGCGATGTTGTTTTTAACAATTTTCAGAAAGAAACGCTTCATCGCATTCTTGTCAATTCACAAAAAATAAACCAGTGATTTTATTTACAACAAAGGGGATAAAAATAAACTTGAATCATGTTTAACACTTTCCAGTTTCATTGCAAATATGATACTAATGCAACACTTACTAATTGAAAAGAAGACATATAATCTGTATATATATTTCTCTTATGTGGCACCATAAACTGGGGTGTTTCTCAGTGTGTTAGGTAATCTTAAGTAATAATTTAATGTAGTGTTGAGAAATTAGTTACGCGTTAAGTATTTATTTAGAAAAAATTTGTATTTTTATAGAAATAAAAGCATAGTTAGTACTTAGAAATAAAAACTTTAGCTTAGCTTTATATTTGACCCTTTCTAAAATGGCTAGAAAAATTTTAAACTTAAACGGTGCTATGCTACTGTATGCTGTCATACTAATTATTGGTGATGGAATTAGACTTTTTTGAGCAAAAGCATATATATTTTAAGATACTCAAGCTCGAGAGGTGCGTAAGGAAGTAAGTACAGTACGTATCTGTCTCATCTCACAGAGATGAGAATAAATTTGTTACTTAATACTGTGCTGAAATGTTCCAAACTCATACTTACAATGGTTCGTGAGAGTTAATGACTGCGGGATTACCATCTTATATGAACGGAAACGTCACAAAATTATTCTTTTAAAAAAGTAGCTTTCTTACGTGCTCCACGTGTTATTTCGGAGGAGAATAATTTATAGAGGGTTAAATAAAGTTATTAATTAACAAAGAAGCTTTTTTATATTTAACATTAATTTAAAAACTTATTTTTTGCACTGTTCGCAATATTGCTGAAAGTCGTAATGACAAAAATCTTACAAAAACAGGACTCAAGATGAAGGAATCCGAATCAACGCTGCTTTAAGATTTATTACAACTAGGTGTAAATTTTTAACTTTTTCAACAAAAAAATAATTAGAAAAAATTTAGATGGACCCCTTGATGTTATAAAATAGCAAAATTTCTGAAGAAAGAGGTTGATGTGATTACGCACTTTCATTTAAAAAGCATATGAACGATTTAAGATATGTTTATAGATTAGCGATATTAAGATATCAAAAACACTTACTTGCAGTAGGATTCCCCTCTGGGGTTGGAGACACAGGATGCACCATGCTCGCAAGGATTGGAATTGCAAGACACTTTGCCTAGAACAAAATCAAACACATTTACATAAATAATCTTCAGCTTCAGACATACTTATTACTTTCATTAGATTTAATCAAATAAAACTGTGCATTTAAAACGAGATTTTATTCTAACACAGCGGCTTCAAACAAAATTTCTGACCATACATTGTAATACAATATTCTGGGCAGTGTTGCCAGATTAGGGGTTTTCCCCCTTAATCTAGAGGGATTTTTTTACCTTCAGTGGGTATTTTAGGGGAATTTGTTTTTAAGGGTTTGTTTTAGGGTTATTTGTGAATTTTACTTGTTTCATTTTGGTTACGTTCTAATATCAAATTTTATAACTGAATGTGTGGGATGGTAATATGAAAATCAATATGTTAAACCAAAACAAAAAGCTTAAGATTTAATTTTAGAACTTAATGAACTTGTTGAATGTAGTAAGTTATTACTTAGCTCGGTTCTCGACTTAAGTTTACTTAGTGCTCGACTCTTCTTTTGACTTTATTAAGTATCCCGTTTTCAAATGCAGCTGTGGAGAGATGTTTCTCCATATTAAATATTATTAAAGAGAAATTGAAAAATAAAATGTCTATAACTACAGCTGATGCTATTTTGCGCGTTCCATATGAACTTTCTAATGGTTGTCAAAGTTTTGTACCTACTTCTTCTATGTTAAAAATGTTTAACAGCGAAAACATATACAAATCAGAAAGTATTGACGAAAATATGTTGGATATTTTATCAGAAATTTAAGCATAATGTTAGAAATAAAATATTAAAAAGATTCTATCGTTGATAATAAAATATTTATGAAAAAATGTGCGAATCAAGAAGCATTGAAAAAATATCTTAAATATTTTAGTGGAAATTAAAGATAATGTAACGATTGAAACGTTAAAAAGATTAATTTGTTCATAATAAAATATTAAAAAGTATTAAATCAACGTTTTCTATACATTATTTAACTTTTGTACAATTTTTTAATACTTATACATTAAGTTAAAAATTTTGAGGTACTTTTAAAATTTTTAGAGGATTTTACAACGCTATCTGGGGGTGAACGGTTATCAGTACCTGGCAACACTGATTCTGGGTCAACAATTTTGAATTGTGTTGAAACCAAAATATAGGCATTGGCATAATGGATCTATGTTAGTTAAACCTCTTTTCGTCTGAGTATTGTTGCGCAAAGCAAAATGTGCAAAATCATGTAACATAAAATGAAATAGTTTAATTAAAACAGCAGCTACACTTGTTAATAAGTGCTTTATATGAACTTAGTTCATAACTCCATAGTATTAGCTCTCTAAAAATGTTGATATAAGTTGAATACAGTTATAGTAAAAAAAAAATGAATATTTTATGTTTCTAACTTCTTAAGCTTGCAGTACGAATTAGGAAATAAAATAGATAATTATGTCAAAAAGTACATTTTATTTTTTATGCAACACGCATATCAATTACAAATAAAATAAGACTTAGCATGCTGTTATTTTTACATTGAACATATTTCTCGGTCAAAAAAACTTTTTTTAAGTAAAAATAAGTGTCAATGAAGATAGAATTTTAAAAAAAATAATAATAATAAGATATTTTACCCATGCCTATCGTTTGACTTAATTATTGTTTCAAACATGTTTAATTTTGAACTTAGCTTTTAGGTAACTTAATATAGAATACAAAACAGAACAGAAATACAAAAATTCTGTTTGGCATAATCTTTCCGAATATAAAAATCGATTGATGATTGTGGATTTTACCATTTTCACTGATGCCATCTTTTTTTCCTTTATACACATTTACTAACTGACTAAACTTTTTTTCCGTATTGTTTGAAATAAGAATTAAGTAATTTATAAACAAATGTCATTTAAGAAAAATAAAAATGTCCAATGAGGCTGTAGCAAATTAGAATTCTCCTTTGAACTTATGGAACCTTTCTAAGATAACAATCATTCGACGGAATATACATACAACTAAGTGCACTTAAATAGGACTTTGAAAACTCAGATATTATCAGTAGTTTATTCTTTTTCCATTTCGAATAAAGTCTGCCTTATCGGCTACGACAGATACTGTCACTTTCTAGAGAAAACCAGGCAGACAGGCCGCTTGTAAAGCAGTTTCCGTTTCTAATATCGCCACAAATTTTACTTTTTTTTACAGCCGCCCCCATTATGAATGAAAAAAAGGTTTAGAAATGTTGCCAGATAAGAATTCGATTTATATTGCACTTTAAAGCGCCATTTTGAATGCTATTAGTCATGAAACAAGATCTTTTACTTAAGCCTTATGCTTTATTGTCGTTTCTATGTGAGTTTTTGCTTTGCTGGGTAACAAATCAAACATTTTGAAGCCACTAAAAAGAAAAAACTCAATTTAAATAGTATTGGTGTAGATTAGATGTTTTAAAGCTGTTCTGTTTTTCCAAGACTCCGTCGTTAATATGAAATTATGCTTTTATGCAATTTTTATAACTGCTGTGAGATAGCACGACTTTTAAGTCAAGTTTAACTTATCAAAAGCCAGTGCCTGTCTGCTCTTATTTCGAAAATGGCGCAAAACGTCAATATGGAGAAAAACTACTGTTTGTGAAAATGAAAAGCATTTGTGGTCTAATTTTTCTTACATTTAAAAATTTACTCTAATGCTGCATTACCTGGGCTCATAAAAATTTGCAAAAACCGAGAATAAGGCAGTGATTTTTATAATTTTTATCTAAGTGGGAAAATGTCGCCAAAAAAATTGGCGATCTTTTAAATACTTTAATAATTTTTAAAATATTTAAGTTATTTGTCTGTTCAAAAATCCAGATAATTCGTCACGGCAAGATTATATATAAATATAGATTTAAATCATTGCATTGTTTCAAATGTAAGGCTTTTAAATTATGGCTTTTTTATTTTCCTTAGTGACAGAACTTCGAGAAACAGCGTTAATAAATGCAGATTATGCTGCTTTACCCGAAATTCGAAGTGCCATTTTAAGCGGTATTAGTCATAAAAGAGAATCACATTTTTACGTTTTAATGCCATGTTTCTTAGAAGTTTCTTTACTAAAAATTTTGAAGTTACGTAAAAAACTGAAATACAAATCTCAGTTTAACCAGCAGTATTAATGTTTACAAAATATTCTTCAAACAATAATCATTGTACAAACATAGAGAGATTTTGTATTGCGTTACATTTTGTTAGCTATTTGATCTTTACAACGCATGCGCGAAAATTTGCAAGAGCTTTTTATTAACTACTACTGACCGATGCTTTATCTGAAAATTTCGTTAAGGAGCGTTTCACTGTTTATTGAGTGATAAGTCAAAAAAAAAAAATTTTTTTTAACTTCATAAAATGGCAGCAAATTTGAGATTATGTGCAGTGGATAGATTTTTTTTAGCACGCAATAATTTTTAAAAAGCTATACCTCCGAAAGAAGATTTAAATAGTAAATATATTTTTCACTTTGATTACATTTGGGCCTCGACTTTGACGGATATGGAATGTTTTATCCCTATTATATTTTTTAATGGTACATATATCTTAAAAAGCGTCTTATTAGTGGTTCGAAATTAAACTTCTATATTATCTTTAATATATTGATTTGATTACTTAACAATAAACAAACAAAACAATGTTTTATTTAATATTTAAGAATAAAACTATACTTTAAAAAAATATGCTTTATGGACAATACCGAGCATTAAAATATTTACAATTCTTTTACATATATATTTGTTACGCTTTGATAGCATAAACATTGTAGATTCGTAATGTGGCCGGTGCTTATTGAAAAAGATACAGGAACATGAAGAAATAATACAATTTTATTAAAATAAGAGCCGGGATCCCAAAAATGAGAACATTACATGCTGGTGTATAGATAGAGAAGAGCCAACTGACCTTGGAAGGAAAACTTTTATATCTTTCTGGACAATACATTTAAATATTAATAGGTCTTAGTAACGTGGGACTGATCAAATTCCCAAGCTACTAAAGACACATCATCACATTTTCTGATATAATTAGATCAATATTATTACTTTCTTTGTGGGAAAGGTTTTAAATAAATGCGAGTTAGATACAAGTTCTATTTATAGATTATATTTTATTGTATAATTCTTTTAACATTACATCAGGCCCGGACTGGGATTTAAAATCGGCCCGGGCATTTTGGAGATATCGGCCCTCTATTTCAGATAAACACCGTGTGCGCGAAGCGTACGCGGCTCCTAATGTATCATTTTTAGGCATTTTTTACTTATAAATTCTCATGAACGTAAGTTAATTTATCGAAGTAAGAAAGAAGATTGAAATTGCTTAATAATCCTTTATAGAATATATTTCAGTTTAAAATACATGGTTCTTATGAGGAAACATAGGTTGATAAAATCAAAAAGAAGGTGAAAGATGAAGAGTAAATAAAAATATTTATTATACTACACATACATGAATGATTTATCTAAACATTTTTTTAAAAATAGATTTAATGCTTCTTCAAAAGTCATTAAATTAAAATTTAATTTAATGACTTTTGAAGAAGCTCACTATTTTCTGCCACTTTATCGATTATGTCGTCGCT